CCATTCCCTTGCTCAAGGCGACGCCTTACGATTGACGACAAAAGCGGCACAACCTCTGTAACGAACTTTCGCGTATGGAAGCTGAATTCTAAGGACTGAAAAAACCAACTTTCCTCATAGAGTCAGGGCTTGATGTTAACTTCAGTAGTTTCTGATTATCGGACAACTTATGTGGAACTCTGCTGACGGAGAAGTCATGATTCTCTAATGGAGACTCGAAGATACAGTCTATATTTGGCTGATGGGCCCTTCTGTGTATTTACGCTCCTTATCCCTGATACGGTGTAGCCGTGGCATGTGAACTCGGCGTAGAATGGGTTACTTGCGGGATATTTCGACTTGCCCCATGGGATTAGAGACAACTGGCATCTTATTTTGTGTTAAACAGAAACACGTCAATAATTATTTTAAAATGAAAGTATCTCTTCGGAAAGCACAGCCTCCACTACGTTTAGTTGAAGTACGCAATTACGCCTACCGCATCTCAGGAATTTTGAGTGTGTTGACGGTGGCTGCCTTGAGCACAATATAATACCGCACATTCGCCGTCGGTTGCCTCCGATCGACCGTTTTGAAGGCCCTTTTTTTGAGAGCCATTGTGAGCCCTTACTCACAACTTTTGCGCCACGAAATACGTCCACTTTATTATTGCAGTGCCATGGACATCACATCCGGATTGGTCTTATGGTATACGTGTCGGCTGATCGAGAGATCAAACAAGCATCACTATCCTGTCGGATTGAATAGGTGAAGGCTCAATGTTTAGCACCTCAAAATAACTAAGGTACTAAATGCTGCTGCACGACGGCAATCACTCACGATTAGACTTGAGATTATACAATCTTTGCCCCTGGCAGGCTTATATACCTCAGCATCATGAGAACTGCCCTAAGGCATTAACACTTATTATCAGTCTTCTGTTTGATTCATAAATGAAACTTGTCCAAGTCGTTTATCTCTTGACTACGTTTCGGGCCTTAAGCCCTTCTTCAGGTCTACAAAACATCATATATGTTCACATAGCCTACACCAACATCAATCCACTATTAGACATACACGCAGAATATTCGAAGAGGAAAACGATCATTCAACAACTGACAGACTTCCTACGGGAAGGAGGGCCTGGGCTGGAGTGGGTCCGGGATGGAGTGGGTCGGGATTGCTGCAAGGTGGTTCAATGACCGACGAAAGCCAGGCATAACTTACCTCTCCAGCTGTCCTTTCCAGTAGAAATGAGACAGCTAGAAAGGCGAAGCAGTGGTAAGATGGTAATAGTTGACACTGCTATTTGTCATATGTCACGTATCACCAGTGATGTCACATCATGATGCAGCAGATCTCCATTGTCCTTCTTAGCTCCTCCCTGTGTTGATCGGTGGATTCCTTACTTCGGGCTCCTAACGCTTCCTTTATCTTTCCCTCCACCGGGTTCCTGTGGATTATGCGCACCTTGAGTTCAGGCGCACGTTCGTTCTTGTGGTGCGAGGAACGATGTCTCAAGAATTGAAGGTGCGCGTAATCCACAGGAACGTATATGATTAGGTGGAGAGGAAAACAAAGGAAGCGCTAGAAATCCGAAGAAGGAATCCACCCAACAACAGGGAGGAGCTAAGAAGGACAATGGAAATCTGCTGCATCATGATTTG